CGGCTCCCTTTGAGCAGGCGCTACGTGACGCCCTTGAAGGTACCCTTATAGAGCCCTATCAAGTTGCAACATATCGACCTGGACGCTCACAGCACCCGCCCTCCTACAAATGTCCGACTGATGCTGATGCTCGTATCATTTTTTGCGAAGTTCAATATAAAGCGAGGAGATTGATATGAAGCGGCAGCGGCAGCCCTATCTACATACCGTAGCGGTAGTGGCACGATGCCAACGGGAAACTCGTCTGAGATTGCTTTGTGAATAGTGTGCGTTTTTTGAAGGTCTTTGGTCGTTTCACTTCGCTTTTCACCATTTTCCCACTGCACGTCAATGCTAAAATTTTAGACCGAGGACCAAATAATCGTGCCTTATGCCTTTGAGGAACCTGGAACTCCAGTACTGTAAATTGGCAGGAACTGTGTCTGTGTTCTGGGTACTAACAGCTCTGGACTTTCACAATCGCTGAGATGCCCCCAGTCTCCTGTTAGTTACTATAACGACCTCTTTTTCTGGGATGTGAGGGCTTATACTTGCTCTTCACGCACTTTCGCGATAAGAGACGCGACAGTGCGTGAAAAGTTGTTGAACACAGACCAGCTTCTTTTCTAGTTTTTTTGTTTCAATAGTTGAAGTACCTTCGAAGAAACAGGTCACGCATATAGACAAGAACGTAGAGAAGTTACGCTGCGATGGTGCGTGTCATACCCCCAGGAAAAAGGGTACCAATAATTTGCCCGCAACCAGTATTTTTTGGGCATTCTAGAATCATAGCATAAATCTGTGCAGTTCTCTTGATTCCATATTGCTGCGTACTGTTAGCGGAAACTACGATAGGAACAATGGGACCTGTGTGGCTCGTTACCGACGGATTCCCTCAAGTTTGAAATGGCAACATTCGTGATGGACGAGTGTGTGACGCTTTTGAGAAAGACTGCTACTCCCGAGAGGCTCATCCATACTTTCTTAAAAATTACCATATTTTTTCACGACTGCGTGCGAATCTTCAATAGAATGAGTCATTTCTCCATCGAATGTTCCTGAGATTACTTTAGGCCTTTGCCTGAGCATTGCACTCAAGCGTTGTCTGGCCAAAACTTCGCCCGGATCTGGCTCGATACTTTGAAAGCAAATATTCAGTGCAAAGGATACCGGGTCCCGAATATAGGCTCGACAGCCCTAGTTTTCGGCATATGTGAATCGAGGTGCCTTCCTAATAACAGCTGTGATATTCGCCTTGGAGAAGGGGGCGGGGGCGGGGGTTGAACCACTCATAGAATCAAATTTCTGCCAAAACCGGGTCATCTCTGATAATGATGAAGCTCAACTTTTGACAAGCTGGTAGTGAAAGGTAAGAAAAGCCGCGGCCCTACTGGAGAATTTGAGAAGTTCAAAGTGTTCTCTTTTCAATTCTTTAAGGAGTTTGGGCTCAGTCAGTATGATTAAGGAATCCATTCATTGAAGAATCTCAATAGAAGTTCACTCACTGCGCCCTTCGCATCGCTCATATAGAGCCCTCTAAAGTATGTAAGGCGTGCAACAATTGATCCCTTTCCTCTCCATCGCCAATTTTGAGTGACAAATTGGATTGACCTTATCTGTCCAAAAAACCAATCCATGACACGTGAAATGGTTTATTTCCGATAGGCGAATCGACGTCACGGCGACGAAATCCCTCGTGTATTGCATTCCACTGAAAAAGGTTCAAACTTTGACGAAAAAGCTGAATTTGATTCCTTACTGTTCCAGTGCATTTCGCAATAACCAGAAAACAGCCCCCTTCCAATGAATACAATAAGCTGATCATTTGAACAGTCGCAGGGACAGCCTTCTTCTTCACAGCTCTTCATTCCAATATTAGCTACTGGTAATGCCAGTATCAGCGCCGTCCCACAAAGATAGTGCTGAAAAATGTACGCTTGTGAAGAGCAATCTTCTTTAATTGATATTGTCGTAATCTGTGCAAACGATTGGGCGTGTGAAATAGTGTGAGTTAGATCGCAGCTAGAACAGCCTTTCAAACTATTATTGACGGAATCAGGATAGCAAATTAGGGTATAGACCTTGTAAGCTCTCCCATCCACGTCCCGTCACACGCCCTATCGTTTGTAGGGATCGTGACTGTACTTGGGCAATCGTTTGAGGACGCTAATTCTGCCCCGGCTCGTAGGGTGTCTGATCATTGTGGCCGGTTATTTAGCGAGTGGGCTAACTTGGAATGCAAGAGAAGTCTCTACTTGGAAGTAGTGGTCTCTTTTGGGTGACATTGCGAACTGATATTCAAGGTCAACTTCAACAATTTCCAGCTAACTAACTTACTGTCGTAGCACAAAGCATTGTTTCTCTATTGCCAGTTTTGCCCAACCGTAATAAATGAGCGCAGGGCAATGTATAGGCAGATCGAACTTGTAACGGCACAATTTGCACAGTCAGAAGAAGTTGTTAGCAATGAGGAGCTTGCACAAAGCGCCATCTGTCTCCTTCATACAATCTTCGTGCCTCGTACATCTTAACAGACTCTTCTACTGTGCAATTGTGCCGATACAAGTTCGATCTGCCTATACATTGCCTGCGCTCATTTATTACGGTTGGGCAAAACTGACAATAGAGAAATAATGCCTTGTGCTACGACAGTAAGGTTAGTTACGCTGGAAATGTGGAGTTTACCTTGAATATCAGTTGCAACAAATCACCAAAAGAAGACCACTAACTTTCTACTGCATTCCAAGTTAGCCCACTCGCTAAATAACCGGCCACAATGACCAGACACCCTACGAGCCGGGGCAGAATTAGCGTCCTCAAACGATTGCCCAAGTATAGTCACGATCCCTACAAAGGATAGGGCGTGTGGCAGGACGTGGATGGGAGAGCTTACAAGGTCTATACCCTAATTTGCTATCCTGATTCCGTCAATAATAGTTTGAAAGGCTGTTCTGGCTGCGATCTAACTCACACTATTTCACACGCCCAATCGTTTGCACAGATTACGACAATATCAATTAAAGAAGATTGCTCTTCACAAGCGTACATTTTTCAGCACTATCTTATGTGGGACGGCGCTGATACTGGCATTACCAGTAACTAATATTGGAATGAAGAGCTGTGAACAAGAACTGTAACTGTCCAAATGATCAGCTTATTGTATTCGTTGGAAGGGGCTGTTTTCTGGTTATTGCGA